CTTTCCTAGCTTCATCTTCAGGACTGTTCTCATATACATTTTTAGAATAATTTTTTTCTTCCTTTGGATACCTGTGGACATGATATTGCAGAAAAAAAAACAGAGTGAGGTGTCAATACTTTCAGTCCAGTCAGTAATTTCTTCCATGAATCTCTCTTCCTGATAAAAAAGAGACAAATGGCAGGGTCAAAGGCTGCCTTTTCTTGATCATTATGAGATGTTGTTAGGACATAGTGTCTACTTTTTTGTCTGTTTACCTGAACACATTAGAATTTCTCTCTTAAGGAACTGTTGACTCTAAGCTGTGATGCAAATATTTTAGGACACTGTAGATATCACCAGAAAAATTCCTCTGACTGAGTCCACCCACTGGTCTAACTCTCTGTCACACGTCAGGTTCTACAGCTGCCTAGAGGCTCTCCATATGACCATAGAAACCTTCAGATCATGACCAAGTGTTTTTGAACCTGGTGCTGGCAATCAAAGTAGTATTTGCTTAGTCTGTTCTTGTCAGGTTCTTCATGTACTTCAGGGCAATCCTGTACTGCAAGAAGTCCTATTGATTTAAATAGACCCGTTTGCTTGGAATGGCTGCACATGAATTTGAAAATAAAAAATTGCTACATCTAACCTTTTCTCAGAAGATTTAATAGATTTATGTAGCCACATATTTAAACTGCTTAGAATGATATCCTGGTACTCTAGAAAAATGTTTTCAATATGTACAACATAAATCCATAACCTTTACCTCATTTATGAAATGTAGACAACTACTTTTTTCCTTTTAATTTTTGCATCATAGTCAGCAAATATGATCTTTTATGACAGATACTCACCATAGTTAAAACAAATCATTATAATTCCAATTACCAACAATTAAAATACAACAGTAGTGTAATTCATTTCAGACACAGTTCATTCTTCTCAGAGTCTACAGGCTTCTAGTTGCAGTATCATACTAATCAATATGAAGTAAACAGAAATGCAAAAATATGAATGAGGATCAGTGACGAACTTGGAGAAACCCCTTGGCTGGATCCTATCTCAGGCAAGTCTGAAAGTAGCTGTAGCATTGTCAAATCTTACACAACTCATTTTTTAATAGCCATATTATTATGTGCTTTATTATTTTTGTTGAATTGTGGGTTTGGGGCTTTTTAATTATTCATGAGAACATGGAGAAGAGTCCTTATCTTTAGGAAAATTTTTAGGAAGATGTTTTTTCTCCTGATGTCTGGCTTAAACTTCCTTTACTACAACTTAAGCCTGTTACTTTTGTCTTATCCATCACAGAGTCCAAAATATTGTCCTTCTTTTGCAGAAAGTTATTAAGCATTTGAATAATATCAGTGATTCTTCATTCTTCCCACCTCAAGTCTGACCATTATTTAAACAGTTTAGGTGTGTAAACCCAGGCTCCAGAAATTGCTTAGCTGGGTGGTATACTGCTTACATCCCTTTGCCAAAGGGAGAGTTCAGGCCTACAAAGCCACTGTCAATATCAGACATTAGACTTCTAGGAACAGGGTTGTTGCAATTGCCAACTTCCACCAACAGTCTTTTCAGTAGTCTTCTCATTAACAGCTTCAACTAGAGCAGGATGTTTTTGTATTTAAAAGTCAGCCAACTCAGCTGTTTACCACTGATATGCAACAGGGACAAATGGCCAAGTGCCGAAAGCACTATATAAATGCAGATTATGTTTATAAAATTTACCTAAGCAACATAGTTCCAGAAAAAACATGCAGACGGTACTAAGCACCAGTTCGTGGAAACTCTTCAGGAAATCTACGTATTGAAGTATTTTATGAAACATGAAGGGCTTGTGGGTATAGGAAATTCAGAACAAGGCTTCCCTGTATTTAAGTGGAGTGGAGAATGAGAAAACTGAAACATACTAACTGCTTTCTAAATACTGACAAAAGAGATTTATTCTAATGGATTTTACAGTGAACAATTTTGAAGTTCTTACCCAGAACTTACATTTACCCAGTCTCCAAATTTCAATGAGATCTCTACAGAAGAAATAGCAATTTTTGTGGACAATTTATGCTTGCACCCATGAACCAGACCTCTTGTCAGGAGGACATGAATTCTTAAGAGGAAAGTATGGTCTAACAAAAAACAGTAAATACAGGCATTGATAACCAGAAGGCTGCCTAATAAACCAGGAGGCTGCCTGATAACTCAGCGAAGTTGTGTTCCTCTGTGCTTTGTACAGGGATCCTTCCCCTCTCAACCTCCAGAGACAACCGATCTTTCAAGAAGAGAATTCTGAATAATAAGAAATGTACTCAAGTAGAAGTGAAGGGAGGAGCACAAGAGGGAAATGATTCATTACCTTAACTGAAGTAGAAGAATAACCCATTCATATGCAAGGTCGTCTGTTGTTCTGTGTCATTGTGCTAATGAATCACCGTTTGTTTATACACTGGGAGTAGTACCTTACCAGTAGAGAGAGGAAACAGAGACTGTTTGTAGCAGGGATTATGCCAGTAATTTTAGTGAAAACTTCTAATTTCAAAACACCGAACTGAAGAAAGGGCTGTATTCATACGTAAACCTGCAGAGACTTTCCCACTTTTTTGGACTGTGTGCAATTTAAACATATTTGTCTTAGTGCCAGATCTGTGGCCAACTGATCTGAAGCAGAATTTGACAGTGCAGACACTGATATATTATGAACTGCCAAAAGTACAAACTAGGGAGCACAATGTTTGTGCTTTTTCTACAGCTAGAGTGTTCATTAGTGGTTTAGAGGAGAAGAGAAATGGAAAGGCTGTGACAGGGAATAACTTTACTGGCAATATGACTAATGTATGCTTTAATTTTCCTTCTAAATGTCTTAAGAAATAAGTTACCTCAACTATGAGCCATTTATTCCAATAACTCTTAATTTTTATATTGCAGAATTTTTCATTATACTCACATGTTGCCAAAGAATCTGAACAGAGAGAATCTCTTAGCTTAAATTCCCAAGAGGTAATCTCTTGATTTGACTAGACCAGTTGCTGCTCTCAGAAGAAGACTGTTTTCTGAGTTGTTCTATGGATAAGAAAATCTAAAGGTCATGTGAAATCCTACGATTTGACTAAACAAGTGCCGAATTCCAGTTAAAGCCTAAGTGACAAAAGAAAAATCAATAAAGTTTAGGAATATTTTTCTGATAAAACCTGTTTTTCTTCCACAACATGACAGAATTCTCTCTCTTTTTTTTTTTTTTCCTTTATTCACATGATTTGAGATTTCTTCAGGGCCAAATTTCAAGGTCTGAATGAAGTTTTTTGAGCTGAGCACTTCCTTGGGAATCACCACGAGATTGGGATACAACCTGTTGTGGATGAGCTGATCGCAATGTTCAAACATTAATATCACAGGCCACGTTTTGTCAGTTTCCTCAGCTGAGAACTCTTGCATTAAATGCCAAACTGGGTTGGAACCACATAAGTAAAGGTGGCAGAATTTCAACCTTTGCTTTAGGAACCCATTTTCAATCACAGTCAGTGTGTTTGGGAATCCCTTGCCTAAAAGGATACATTTTTTAAGGCTTGACATTTTTTAAGGTTTGGAAAGAAAAGCTTTCTTTATTAACCTGATAATTGTAGAAAATTGAAGTGTTGGAAAGATTAATAATTACACATTTATGGGAGAATTACAATCAATAGCATTGCAAAATGTCTTTTTCTCCCCACTTTGTCACAGGAGCCCACTACATGGATGCTTATCTAAAAGACTATAAAACAGAACTGGCGAAAACAGGAAGCTGGATTAATTCAAGGACATTACTTCTCCTTAGTTACTGTTTAAATAACATGTGATGGATGAGGAGTATGTTCAGAGCACAGCCTGTATTTTTAACAATTGTTCTGAAACCTGCAGCAGATCACTTACATGTTTCATGCAGCACAATTGCGGGGTTTCCCACTGTATTTTGCTTCCCGATGTTCAGAAGTAATGCAAGATTTAACAATACATTCCTTCAGACCTCCACTCATTTTCACAGAAAAAAACCAAACACCCAGGAAACAACAGGTTATCACAACTTAGTGTAACCTGAATAACAAAGGTAGCACTGCAGCGCTTCAACTTTCAGTGCCAGATCTATGAGCAGTATCTGTGGGCAAATAACTACCACAGAAGGAACAGAGGAGGGACAGGAATGAGACAGATACTTCGCTTACTACTCTGTAGAGCCACATACCTCTGGAAAGAGCCTGGCACTGTCCATCTCTCTGTACCTGATGTACCTGAATGTTCCACAGCTCTTCAGACCTGCTAGTTGTTACAAGGGATCAAGCTTATGTTACTGCGCAGCTTTGCATGTGAACCGTGAGCCCTAGATTTGCTTTATTACTGCTTCCTCTAAATCTCTCAGAAACAAGAAGGGAGAGAACTCCCAATGTCCAGGTGATCCTGTCAAACATCCAGTTTTAAGGAAAAAACATGGAAGACACAAAAAAGTCAACCAACAAGAAACAAAAATGGCACACAGGATTGATACATAGTACATGCATAAAATTATAGTTCTTTTTATGAATTAAAAAAAAAACAAAGAAAGCATATAGTTTAGGAAATGGTAGGAATAGAGATAATGAGTGAACTAAAACAGATAAAAAATATTTTAATGTTAAGTTAAACTGAACAGAACTTTGAACAGCTCCATAGTAGGCAAATGGTTAAATTATTACTACTACACACTTTCTCTAGTTGTAAATTTATTCAAAGAGAGTAACAACATTTTCTTCTTTTTTTTTTCCTAAAATTTTAAGGGAAATTACGTGGTATGCACTAGACAAATAAATAGTAGACAAGTAATTGTGCTGGATGCTTAAGGTTTTGATGCTTAAATATGTTCACTACTTCATAATTTTACAGACTTATTCATAGACTTTCACTTAAGTTTAAACCCCTGCTTTACTTTGATATAGCTCTGGACTAATAACTTTTATAAATAGTTTGAAGAAACTTTGCCTTTTTTTTCTTTTTGGTTTCCCTATTAGGCTGTCTATCCTGTAAGAAGATTGCAAAAATAAATTCAGAAGGTAAAGGAAGGAACTCACTATAGTCTTCATCTTCTGATTCAAGATGGGGAAGAAAATAGAAAAGACAGTATAATATAAGTAAACTTACCTGGATAAAAACTGAGCCGTTGATAAAGATTTGGAACAACCTGGCTAAACTCTAAGGTCTTGATATGTCAGCTCTGCGCAACACCATGAGAAAATTTAAGAGGAAAAACGGGTTATGCTCAAACATTAATACTACAGGGAAGAAGGAGTCTTCCCCTCTTTGCAGAAATTCCAAGGGACTTGGAAAGCTTCAGGTATTTAGTCTTCTGCTTCTTTTCATTATCTACTTAATCATAAGTATACTAAGATCTACCATCTGTATGTCTCGGGCTAGCCACAAAAAATAAGCCCTAATTTATGTCTTGAATACTAGAAGATATTGCTAACTCTTGCAACTGCAGTTGAACCTTGTCTTTTCACATTAGCAAGCCAGTAGACTGCATATGTTACTCACACCGAAGCAGTTCAGTAAATAAGACTGTCTTCCCCCTACTCTCTGGACCTACCCATCAGCTGGTGGAGAAGACAGGACTTCTTTTGGGATAGAACATTTCCATAGTCTTCCTGCTGTGACAATTAAAAAGTTTAAAAAATGAACTCTATACTAATAAAATAGTCAGGGACAGAGTGTGTTTTCAATCTTGGCTCTCTCTGATCTTTGCAGATGATTAACTAAAACTATCCCTGGCATGGATTTGCCCTGTAGTAACTTGTGTTCTTCTAAGCATTTCCAGGGATGTTTAAGGTGTTAACACAGCCCCAGAGCCATTTCCAGAAGCAATTTAGACAGAATGCCAAATATAGATACGACCTATACAGGGCATACACACCACTATGCACCTTATGACTCTCTTCAGACTACAGGAACGAGCAGATAGCAAGGCATGTAGGAAGATTAGGGCATCAGCACAAACAAAAAATGGCCATCTCATCATATATTGGGCCACAGACACTTATGTATTACCTATAGATGTGTTAACTTCTCTTGGCTGTTCTTGCAGAACACCATGGGCGTATGTGATATCCTTTCCAGGCAACAGCGTTTCACCTTTCCTTGAAATGTGTGATGTAAGGCAGAGAGTAGGGCAGTTATTAGGACATGTATGCAAGTTTTATAAAGGAGTGTGCCAGAGTTCACTGAACAAATTCTATCATTAAGTGTCTTAGAGTAATGCACATCTGAAAATCACTGAACTGCAAGATAATAATGTTTAGTAGGCCAGTGAAGCATAAATACATGCGTTGTTAAAATTAGTTTCTTTTAAATGGGACAAATAAATACATAGCTCTTATAAAGAACTCGTCTACTCATTTGGAGAAAAAGAAATGTTCAAATGTAACTTTATTGAAAGGGATCATCTTGAATGTCAGTGTATTACAGAGTAATTCTATTAAAGAGCTGAATTCTACATTTTTGCTCCTGCTAGGGATGTTAATCAGTTCCTTGATGTGATATTAGTTGCATTTAACCTGAAAAGAGATGGATTCAGTCATGCATACATGACTAACTCTGTTAAAACATCAACAGAACTGAAAATCTCCCATCTTGATGTTAACTGGACTACACAAGTAACAAAAGCCATGCTTTGAGATTCAGAGGCCTAAAATGTCAATAATCGCACTGAGTCTGTGACAAAATCAGTAATTGCAAAGGATGACACTTAATGTGTACTTAATTGAAATGGGAAAAAAAGAAAATACACAATAACCCTTTTTACAATTTAGCCTATACGGTAAAGATTTTCAGAGACAGAGCTGTCATTCAAAGAAAGTGGCAATTAAGCAGCAATTAAGCACAAATTAACAGATGTCAGTTTTACCAGGTATTTTACTCTTAGGTACAAACTTACACTTTGGAATTAGACCTCTATCTTGGCAAAAGCCTTAAATTTGCTTTGACACAAGGGAGATCATGAGAAGGAGTTAACTGTACCCTGATATTTTAAAAACTTAGAGGATAACTCTGACTTCATTGTCTGATGGAACACAGTTGATACCATTGGGTACTAGTGAACTCAATACCACTATTTCTTTCTGCCCTGCTGTCTTCTTGATTTTGCAGAGCAGAAAAATTTTTTCAAGGGAAGCAGAGCAGAGTGCATTTCTCATAGAGGTATTTCCCATGTTCTTCTGGTTTGTATGCACTGGGTGGAAAGAGGTTCTGTGTTCATCAACTTGGTTGACTTAGTCAAGTTTCCCAATCACTAGAGCAAGGTTTAAGGATCACTATAAAGATACCCTTTGCAGAATTAGACTCTTTTGGATATCCATTTCCCCCTGGCCTCCAGTTGTCAGTCAATAAGGGTATAGAATCCTTGCAGTGTTTGTGACATAATGGGCATCCATCCAAATTTATAAAATGGCACTAGATGCTTTGGTTTAAGTATCTGCACATAGATAATTACCTAAACTTGAGGTATTTGAAGTGGTTTTCTGCCAAACTGGATTTGTTAAAATCAGATCAAGTTAGGTGCAACTCTTTCCTTTTTCAGTGATGAAAAGGTGGCTGAACTAGAATGTTTTCCACAAGAATTCTTCTTTTTCCTCTCCCTTCATTACAACTTATTCTTACAAGGAGAATGTTGTTACAGAGGCCAAACATTTGTCCTGAAGGCATTACAGAAGGCTGTCATATCTTTTGCAGAAAACACCCTGACATAAACACACTCCTGTTTCACTCCATCAGTGAGTTTCATCCCTCTTCATGTCATGGCTAAGGGCAACTTGGGACACCCTGGACACAGAGTGAGGGGTTTGGAGTGGTTTTTTTAAGATCAATAGTAAGATTTTAGTTTTCCTTGTCTTTGAGTGCACTGGAAACCAAAAACCCAAACCACCATGCTGGGGAATCTGCTTATTGATAAATAATGCATCTTCTGGATGTGGCATGAGTTACTGAGGTTCCACAGTTTAATTGCTGTGCTAGTATAATCATATAGCCAATGCCTCAGCCTAGGAATTAAAAGTATATTGGTCAGTACTGTGCTTGAAAAAATGAGCTTAACAGATAGAAGATAGTTTTATTTGCTGTTACTAATGGCTCCCTACCAACTCTATGAATCGTAAAAAGTTGTAACCTTTGAAAACACAACCCCTTACCTGAGTAGTGAAGCAGCACAACAGACCTGCAATCCATTTGCAATAGCCTGTCCTCAGTCAATTTACAATTACAGAGTGTGTAGATTGTTTCATTGTAGTTTAATATTTTAATCTATAAATTCACCAAATCTTTAAAGTCAGAGAATTCTGCCTGAGCTATTAAATTAGTAGCCGAGATGAAAAAAAACTAAGAGTGGGTAATAAATCCCTTATTTAAATAATTCAAGTTCTCTCCGGCTGATTATTCAATATTTCAGTGTACAATCATGTGTGCCCCAAATACATAACTCGAAACGCAAATGCTTTAGGATTTCTATCTCCCAGTTTGTATCACAGTGCTACTGTAAGACAGTTTTCCTTAATTAAAAAAAATACTAAGACTGACTTACACTGCTATGAAAAAAACAATGCATTAGGCCTTGCATTTCCTTCCCCTTAAACTCTGACCATTGTTCTTTGTAGGTAACATTGGGCCCTTTTGAGCATCAAGGGCTGTGTCCTCTGAGGTTGAAAGAAAATGGAAAACTAGTCCTCCTGGATCACACTCTTTGGCTCAGGCAGTCAGCTTGCACCGACCTGAACTGAGCTGGAATGATTGCTTTCAACAGGACTTTTGGGTTTGCCTTCACAATTCCCACAGCCACTAACGCCAACAGGATCCCCACTGGAGATCACTAGGCTTGGTATCTGTTTCCTACCAGTGATATCATTTGATTACATGCAGTAAAACACGCAAGAGAACAAGGCAAAACCTTCTTCTGGAGGCACAGTTGCTGAGGAAACCATCTTCTCTCTGTATTCAGTAGTTCAGTAACCATTTACATCCAATAAAACAAGGAAACAAAAAAAAACAACCATGGTCAATTTTCCTGGGAGCATTCATAGCATTAATGCTATTTTGTCTTGCACCTCCAAGGAAACTGCTTTTTCTTTACAAGTTGTATTGGTTGATATGCCTATTTTCTATCTGTCATTGCATCCCCACACTTACTTCTGAACACAAATGTAAAGCAAACATACAGTCTAATGCCATGTGTCCACACATTCATTCCAGTTTGCTTCAGAAAAGATAATAAGTGGAGTTTGTTTTAGCTATTGCACCTGAAAGGTCTGTGTACCAGTAAGACCTGGTGAACTGAGTGAGGAAGTAGAAGCAGCAGAAGGAATTTGACAGATGAAAATCGAAATGATCTCCCTAGGAAACTTCTTGCAGCCTGAAAACCTGTCTTAGAGGTCTACTTTTTACTGCTAGTCTCAGCAACTCTGGAGATGTTATCATTTAAAAAACACTAACCATTCTTCTGCAGTCTGCAGTCTCAATTGCTTTAAACTGCAGTGAACAAAATAGGTCAGGTTCAAGCTTGCAAGAAACTATCATACCTGTGAAAATTTCCAAATGCTTATGTCTGTAACCCTGTTTGGCTTGACTGAATCCTCTGTAAGATCTGTTTTGCATCTCTTTACTTCATGAGCTCAACTTCATATGAATCTAAATCATATCTTAGTATTATGATAGAATAGAGGGTTTTTTTTCAAATATTTTGTTACTCTTTAACATTGCATAAGACTACTGTGTTTATTTACAGTGGCTGCTGTTACCAGGTTGTCGAAAGCCACAGATCTTCCTAAATTTTCCCAATATTGCAGAGTTTGAGTAACTTCTGTCAGCAAACATCATCACCTCAGAGTAGTATAGATAATCATATAGCAGTGAATGAAGACTTCTAAAAATGTACGTAAGAATTCTTGTCCTAATTTTAGTAAACTGCAATTATTTCTCAGCTCAAGTGCCCATGAATTTCTCCATTAGGTTTAACACCACTGCTTCTTTGCAATTGTAAACAGCTGGATTATTATTTCATGCCCTCCCCCAAATGTATATTTTGAAAATTATTTTGGAAAAAAAGCATACCAAAACTTCATCCCAAATACAGATATCAAGAACAAGAGGAGTGCAAGCTGAAATAATTTGATTTACGGTAATACCAGACTGAAGCTACCCACTAGTTGTTTTCACTACAAATCATTATACAGAACAATCATCAGTTATGTAACTTCAGATGAAGCCTATTTTTCCTGATATGTAAAACAGGCAAAAATTACCAAAACGCATGATGAGTTTGGTAATTAAAACAGTGACATAATTCCAGTAGGACTACTTTAGGAAGTTTGTTATAATATCAATTGGTTTGAGCCTAATAATGAATGGTAAATTATCATATCATTTTACCAGTTTGCAGAAAGGAAGCTTTTTAATTTTTTTCCTTTAATAACCGAACACAAAAAAGTCCTTCCTAGTTCAATTTAGTCTTACTTATTTAATTTCTTTCCCCTCTTTTTGTGAAACACTAACCAAGAGATTTAAAGTTATATACAAGGAACTATTCCTGTGTGTTCCTTCCAGAATGAAATTGCGCACTGCATGCTAGTCTCTCTAACATTATGCAAGGGCTTGTATGTAGGATCACAGCAGCATGTGGAAAGAGCACAGCAAAGAGGCCTAATGGGCTGCCTGTTACCCAGCTGTCTCTTTACATTTTGCGTGTACTGCAGTGAGGGCTCAGTGCCTTCAGCCATTCAGGAACTGCCCAGCTGTGCAAAAAACAAAGCACATTTAGCATGTTTGAGGCAAATTAATCTTGCAAATTTCATTTTGCCAAACAGAGCAAGAAGACAAGGCAACCAAGACCTGGCTAGGCTGCAGTTTTAATTATCTTCACAAATCTGGAATTGTAACCATTAATTCTGACCAAAGAATTATCCTGAATGACTAACTGTTAATGAATGTGATTATACTCCTATAATCTGGACCTTTCACAACATTTCTGCCCATCTCAGAGGCTGTTCTTCATTTAAGTACTTGGGAAACTATAGGAACACCTTTATGCCAGCTGTGAGGAGAAGAGATTCCCATTCTATGTCTCCCTGAGGCAGGGAAGGTCCTCTCCCATACTTCATCTAGCAGGAAAATGGCACCTCTCCACAACATTCTGTACAATCCACCTTCCAGTTCGCATCATCACCTCCTCAATATGGCTTGACACAGAACTTTTTGCCAGGGCCTGGGTTATTAGGCAAAAACCACTAAAGCATTCAAAAAATGATCCAATATAACATCTCATTCCTTGCTCTAAAACATTTATAGCATGAGCCCAAGGAGAAGATCCTCTTCAGCCAAACAAGAGATAAGAAAAAGATGCCCCTGCAAGACAACACTTAAATATCCAGGCTTACAAACCTTTTCCTCCCACACAGGAGGCCTCAGCATTACTAGTTAGCAATATTCTCTCTTAGTGCTCCCATATTCATGAGGTAGTGGAGCATATCCAGGAAGGCATCCTTGTTACAAAAAGACTTCTTTTTCTTGCTATTTTATGCTGCTGTCTTTCGCCTAAGCTATGAGCAGTCTTAAAGATTTATACATCAACCTGAATTGTCAACCTGAGTTGTTGTCAGATCTTCGGTTTTATTTCTGCATTAGAAAGCTCTTTTATACCGCTTCAGGAACTCTGTTTTGCCCTTACCTTGTCATTTGTTCTCTGGAAGAAACTACGTGCTACCTCTCTACACAATTTATTTGGCCTGCAAGGTGAGTATGCTCGATAGACTACCCCTTGCAGGCTAACACACCTTTAGTATTTTGTCTAATAGCCACATAACACCCCCATTTTGCGTTGTTTAGTTTTTGCCTCCTGATCTAAGGGTCCTCTAAGTGTTTTCTTAAAGTACTCTTTTAAAATTGCTTGTGCTAATCAACTGCTGACAGAGAATGAGGTGGTCTCCAGGCTAGTTTACCAAATGCTGATCTTGCATATATACTACAATTTTTAACTGTGAGCCAAGATATCTGCTGACAGGTGGTAACTCCTCCAGGATCTGCTCTCCTGTGACCTGCTGAGTTGTTTTCTTGGCTTATTCATTTATGTCCTAAAGAAAGAAACGGGATCCTTCACAAATTTTTCTTAAGCCTGGCTCATGTTCTCTGTGACTTTAGCCAGGATCAATGTGGTTGGAGGATTTATATGAAGTGAAAAGGTTGTGATTCCAGCAAGAATCCCACATGACCCATCATCTGTGATTTATTGGTCCCTACAATGACCTAAAAATACGTTGAATGGATATATTCTTTCTGTCAGTGCTTAGCATTTGAAAGCAACACCTTTTCAGGTGATGCAAGAATGCCTTCAGATCAGTGCAGTGCAGAAAAAGATTTTTAATAATGCTTACTAATTTCCATAAGATGTACACTGTAAGGCTATTACAATGAGTCCTGACAAAGTATTGTCTGCCTGATATTTCTGCTCAATTTTTTAGGCTTTTATTGGCATTACTGGAGGTTCATTGCTTAAAATAATATACTCCTAGAGCACATCGTTCATAAAATACATACTTTTTCAGCCTTCTCTCCCAGCTTGGTATCATTGTGTGTTGGAAATTTGGTGGTGGTCTTCTATGTTCTTGCACACACCTATAAGCTCATCAGATGCCCCCCGCTCCTAAGAGTGACTTGACCACTGTGCTATTGACAGGTCCTGGAATTTGGGCAGTTCACTGCTTTCTGCATGGCATCACATCTTCAAAATACAGCAGGAGAAAGAGAATATGGAATAAACAGAATCCTGCATCACTTACAGGCCCAGTCCCCACTCAAATGCCCAATTCTGCAATTTTCTATTAAAGCTTCATTAAACAATACAGAATTCTGTGTAGAACTAGAGTCCATGTTTGCCTCTCCTTTCTCTATAATAAACAGTGCTCTACCTGTTAGGTGGTACCTTTTCCTTCCTGTCATACAATGTTAATTCAGTGAAAGATATAGTAGAGGGCAGAGCAAACAAGCAGTAAAACACTCTGACAGACAGTAATTATTTTTGGTAAATCATGTAAGCCTGGAGCTGCTACGCAGCAACTCTCTGAAATACCCTCAGCCAAGCTGCTTAAGCAAGCATTTTCTCTTCCATGTCACTCCAGATGCCATGCAGCAATCAGGAGTGCTTCTCCCTGTGCCTACTACAGCAATGAACTGATACTGCTATGTTGCTGGGAAAATACTATAGGAGCAGCAGAGCATAGCATTTATATCCTTTTCTCATCCCTGCTCTTCTGTCCCCTAACTAACCCCATTCCTAACCAATCACAACATTACAGTCAGGAAAATAATCTTTCACAATGCAGTATAAAACACAAAATCTAACTTTTTAATACAAATATATTAACTTTCACTTTTTCATGCTCTTCTGTTAATAAGGTCTGCACACACACAAAAAAGTGCCTATATATTTCAGCTCCACTACAGCTGATAAATTCATGCAGTAATGCAAGTGCTCTGTCTTCCAGCCTTTCAGTGCATAACATGGACTTTTCAAAAGATCAAAGCAATTAAAAAAGAAATGAGTATGAAACTAGCTTCAAAACTGTCTCAGTTCTCCTGCTGTTCCTAATGGTTTTGATGTGACTTCCCCTGCTTTTTTTCTTTCCACATCTCTGTTCACAGAATGAAGAGCTATGGCCACACACAGGGTTTTCTTAAGAAAGGTTTCTACATAGTATAGATAAGAGTTTTCCTTCTGTATAAATTGCATACAGTTTTTTTAAATCTTCACTGAGAATTACTTTTATATAAGATTACCAAAGAAAACATGCCAACTCTACCTGGACTCTGATTTGAATTTGATTTGGGTTGCAAGAGCAGTAAATCAAGTTACTGTACCTAGCTGAGCTGGAACTGATAGCATTCACTCTCATAAACAGCATGAATTAGATACAGTCCTTCACAGAGATCTCTTTCCCTCTGCTAGCATGTGGAAGAGACTTTAAAAC